AAAGAAGTTCAGATAAGGTTTACTCGACTAATACCTGGATTAAGAGAATTTCCTTAGGAGGAAGGCAAAACAGGCTAGTCCTGCATTTTAGAACTTACACAAGTCAGACTTAATTGAAACATACAAGATCCCAAGGAGACTTGGCTGGGTGGATGTTGAAAGGATGTTTCCTCTTGCGAGAGAATCGGAATCATAATTTATCAAACCTTCATTACAATCTTACCATTTAGTGGATAGTCCATCTGGATTCTGTAGAATCTTAAACAACTATTAGTTCCCCCCTTACCCTTTAGCAGTTCTAGTTTCAAAAATCATGCACTTCTCAAGTCTGAGATAACAAGGTGTAAAGCTGGATGAACACAGCAGGCCAAGCAGCATCAGAGGAGCAGGAAGGCTGACGTTTCGGGCCTAGTCCGGTCTGCTGTGTTCAGCCAGCTCTACACCTTGTTATCTCAGATTCTCCAGCATCTGCAGTTCCTACTATCTCTGAAACCACTTCTCAAGTCTCTCCATTTTTACTCAACCCGATAGTACTTTACCAGATCTACGTCAAAAACTTTATATTTCTTTACTACATTTGGATATCTAAGACAGCACAAAATACTTAACTACATACCAGTATTACATATTGCTTTCAGAGCTACGTGTACCTTTCATGTCCAAAAATAAACTTATCCTGTTACCACTAATGTACTTATTTGCATACGAAGTTCTGTCTTCTCCTATACTCCAAATAAGATGCATTTCCTTTCTTGATTGCTATTTTGACAGCATAATTTTTCTTCTATATTGACGTGCATTTGCTACCCATCTATGTTGAATTTTCATAATCATAAATTACTATTCTCCTTATGTTGTGCCATCAGCAAATTTGAATATTACTCTTTAGAGTCTGAAGCCTTGAGCACCAATCCCATATTTTTCCAATCTGAAAAAAAAATCTAGATTTTCCCAGCCTCTTTTGTCCTCTCCCCTCTAATGAGCTTCCTTCCATTCAGCTTTAGTCCATATACCATTATAATCATTTACCCATGAACTTAGCCTAAATATGAATGAAGTATTCAGTCAGAGTCATACAACATAAAAAACACATTCGGACCATATTTTTTAAAATATTGAACCAAAAACCTTGTGTATTACAAATCTCAATTTTATTTTAATATCATTGGAGTTAAATTTGGGTTAGTTTCACTTGGGTTTTCTCATTTTCAAAGTTATTAATTGAAACATTTCTGTAGCTTTCATGATTTAGTTTAGAAAAGGTGGAGAGATATACTTTGGCAGCACTAACAGATTTTATTTACCTTCAGGATGTTTTTCAACTTAGCAAGATAAACCACAGTCCTTTAAGAGATGTTAGAAATTTCTAAACTTAGGGTTTTTTCATCTTAGAAGAAACACACAAAGCTTAGAAGGTGAGACTTTTTTTCAGTTTTGTTTTGGGCAGTTCTGGGAAGTTCTAGGACAGAAAATTTTGAATAGCGTAGTGCTCCTGAGAAACAGAGAATATGGTAAAACTAGATTCCTTAGAACTAAAGGAGAAGTTTTGTGACAAAATACTGAAGAAGCAACTTACAGCAGAGTACAAGATCAGTTGTATGTTAACTCCAAGAAGAAGCTATCAGCTTTTCCAGATGAGGAGCTGAATTCACGGCTACCTTAAGCTAATTGAAGTGTTAGAAAATATTTATATTTCCTCCGAAGTGAGTACTATATAAGAAATTTTTTAATTTGGAATTTGAAACAGCCTGCTTTTGAACTAATAGGATTATACTTTTACTTCAGATTTTAAAATGAAGTTTTGAATTTGAGATAAATAAATAGCTTGGTTCATTTCACCAATTCTTTTGGTTAATAATCTTTTGTTGCGTCTGTACTCAATGGAGTTAAGAATAATGACAGGCCTTAGTTAATTACAAGATTGTTATGGGGTTCTGTTGCATGGGAGATGCAGAAAGGCCGTTTTCCCTTGTGAGAGCTTAGAGGGCATAATCTCAGAACAAACAGTCACCCAGTTAGAATGGAGATGAACAGGAATTTCTTCTGAGGGTTGTGAATCTGTGGAATTCTTTACAACAGAGGGCTGTCAAGGCTAGATCATTTAATATATTCAAGGCTGAGATAGACAGATTTTTAAATCAGAAAGGGGATCAAGGGTTATGGGAAAAGGCCGGAAAATGGAGTTGAGGATCATTAATTCAGCCATGATGGTATTGATGGGTGGAAAAGACTGAAGGAAGCAATCCACCTATTTCGGTTTCCATGATACAACCCAATTTTTTTTTCATATCACAGAACTATTTCCACAAGGTGGTGCACTGCTGTGGAATGTGCCCTGCCTAAAATTATAGCCATTCAAACATCATCCAAGACTTCAGAGTAGTAACAGTACATCTTTATGTAGACTTTTCCAAATACCTGGTATGTCCCTGCAAGTCTGATTGACACCAAAGAATTGTTATAATTTAAAGACAACTGTTCAGAATTACCCTTGTTAAAAAAAAAATTCTAGATAGTTGGTGTGCATCAACTTTTACAGGACAACACGCACATTTATTCATGGAGACAGCATCAACTGGCCAACTGAAGTAAAACAGAACCAAACTACTGTCAAATGCTAACAAATAGTCTTTGCAAATGAGATTATAATAGATAGCTTGTGCGTAATGGCTAGAGATTCAGGATCACTGCTAAAGGACCCACTCTAAACTTATTGCAACTGTTTCAGCACATCACATGGGTTAATTGAAATAACAATGCTCAAATATTTTCATTCTTGGTGTTGATAGATCGATAAAGCAAGAATCTAACTGAGCAAGTTAAAGGTTCAGAATAAAAGTTCAATAATAATTACTTTGTAGATCTCTCTACCATGTATTATTTGCCACTAAAAACTGATCTTTCCAATGAGAGTTCACCTCAAACAAAGTTATAAATGTACTCTCAAAAACAGTTAATCACAGAATTATTAGTGTCAAAGGTGGTCATTTGGCACATCATGCCTGTATCAGCCAATAGTGACTGCCACTCTCCTGGCTTCTCCCCATATCCCTGCACATCATTACTATTGAAAAAAAAACAAACAATCCAATGCCCTTTTGAATGCCTCAATTGAACCTGCTACCACCACATCTCCAGGCAATGCATTCCGTACCTTAACTACTTAGCTGAAGGTGACCAACACGAATTGGGTATAAACACGATTGATGAATTGTGGACGCTGTTTGGATAATGCAAAATTTCTGCTGTACAAGTGTAGCAATTTCCCTATAACGCGACTTTCTATAGTGCAAGCTCACACAAGAACGCAACTAGTTATAGGAGAACTACTTGTAAATCGTTTCTGCACTTTCTCCAATGCATTCGCTTCTTTCATGTAATGTGACGCACACAATTGAAGACAATACTCCAGCTGAGGTCTAACAAGTGTATAATTTCAACATCACCTTCATCCAAGCCCCTATTAATAAAGCAGCAAGCACTGTATGCTTTGTATGCTACTCCTTCTACTTGTCCTGCCACCTTCAATGATGTGCACACTTATACACCCAGGCTCTCTGCTCCTGTACCCCTTTTAGAATTTTACACCCATTTTATATTTTTTCATTTAAAGGAACAATTGTTATTCTTGCCTCTTCAGCAACCGGTTCAAAATAGTACATGTTGCAATGCATTCTATCAACTGACTTTTCATTGAATTCACTTGTGGGAGGTGGGCATCACTGGTTGGCCAGCATTTATTGCCCACCCTTAGTTGCTCTTGACAGGGTGAGCTATCTTCTTGAACCACTGCAGTCCATGTGCTGTAGGTTGACCTACAATGTCCTCAAGGGAAGGAATTCCAGGGATTTGACCCAGCAGTGAAGGTTCAGTGATATATTTCCAGGTCACCATGGTGAATGGCTTGGATGGGAACTTGCAGGTAGTGGAGTTCACAAGTATATGCTGCCCTTGTGCTTCCAGGTGGAAGCAGTTGTGGGTTTGGAAGGTGCTATGTAAGAAGCCTTGGTGAACTTCTGCAATGCATGTTGTAGATAGTACACACTGCTGCTGCTGAGCATTGGTAGTGGTGCCAGTCAAGCAGGTTGCTTTGTCCTGGATGATGATCAAGCTTCTCAAGTGTTGTTGAAGCTAGACCCATAAAGGCACATGACTGAACAGAGCTAAAATTCAGCATTGTCAGTATTATTCATATCCCAAGAATCAAAATATTTACAATTATTTCAATTATACAATTATTTCATTAGTCCGAGAGACAGCTCTTCCCAACTGGACACTAGTCCTCAGATGCTAGCAAGGATACCTTTATAGGCCTGATGGGGCTAGGATTGCAAAGGTCCTGATGTAAAACTGTCTTTGGCAATGAACTTGTCAAATACTTTGCTATTCAGTTCATTCAGCAATGATTGCTTGCAATTAAATGACAGACTACTCCAGTCCATAGGACATGAAACTCCATGCCAATCATACAGTGGAATCAGAGTTGTATGCAGGCTGGACCAAGTAAAGGGAGGGAAGAACAAAAAGAGGTGTATTTTGCCTCCTGAAGGATCAGTGATATTTTTATGACAATTTGATAGCTTTGATGATTTTTCATCAATCTAGATATTACAGACTTAGTAAATTCATTTTTTGCTACAGCATTTAGTGTCCTGTGAGTTATGCTATTTAGATCTTAGAATCCCTACAGCGTGTAAACAGGCCCTTCAGCCCAACAAGTCCACACCAATCCTCAGAGTATCCCACCCAGACCCATCCCCCTATAACCCACATAATCTATACATCCCTGAACACTATGGGCAATTGTGCACGGTCAATACACCTAGCCTACACATCTTTGGACTGTAGGAGGAAACCGGAGCACCCGGAGGAAACGCACACAGACATGGGGAGAATCTGCAAACTCCACATAGACAGTCACCCGAGGGTGGAATCAAACCCGGGCCCCTGGCGCTGCGAGGCAGCATTGCTAACCACTGAGCCACCGTGCCACCCCCAAAAAATATATGGAACGCTTCACGGCTTTGCGTGTCATCCTTGCGCAGCGGCCATGCTAATCTCCTCTGTACCATTCCAATTTTAGTATACGTGCTGCTGAAGTCAGCACAAAATCCAGGGACTTGAGCTTCCATTAAGCACTGTGAGCCTGACATGATCTGAACACACAACCTTGCTTTGAACAACAGAAAAATATAGTAGGGTTAAATGCAAGTACTAATTGTACTTTACCAGACAATTTTATAGATGCCAAATTTAGCTAATTTATATGCTTTATTTCTATACTTGATAGAACTAGCATCTGAACACACACATTGCTCAAAAATGTGCCCAAATACTGTAATTCAGTCAGTGGATTGCCAAGTGTTTCTTCCCATATAGGAACTGACAGTAAATTATTGTTAGTGTGATCATTCGCCAGCAATTCCAGAGTCAGCAGGACACTAATCAATGAGGCTACGCTTAGAACGCAGTATCTGAAAGTATTCTTTTTTTTAAAATGGGCAGTGCAGGAGGGCATGCAAGCAGCATTACTAGGCATACCCAAAAATGAGGTATCAACTTGGTGAAACTACTAGACAGAAGTACTTGCATGCCAAACAGCATAAGCAGCAAGTGATAGATACAGCTAAGCAATCCCACAAACAACAGATCAGATGTAAGCAGTTCTGCCACATACAGTCGAGAATGGTGGTGGACAATTAAACAAGTCACTGGATGAGGAGGCTTCACAAATATCCCCATCCTTAATGATGGAAGAGCCCAGCACATCTGCGCAAAAGATAAGGCTTAAGCATTCACAGCAATCTTCACCCAGAAGTGCCGAGTGGATAATCCATCTCAGCCTCCTCCAGTGGTTCCCAGCATTACGTATACTAGTCTTCAGCCAATTTGATTCATTCCACATGAAATCAAGAAACGGTTAGAGACACTGGATACGGCAAAGACTACGTGCTCTGACAACATTCTGGCAATATACTGAAGACTTGTGCTCCAGAACTTTCCACTCTCCTTGCCGAGCTGTTCCAGTACAGTTATAACACTGGTATCTACCCAACAATGTGGAAAATTGCCCTGGAATGACCTGTACATAAAAAGCAGGACAAATTCCAAGCTGGCCAATTACGACCCCAGTAGTCAACTCTCAATCAACAGTAAAATGATGGAAGGTGTCATCAACAGTGCTATCAAGAAGTTCCTGCTCATTAATAACCTGCTCCGTGATGCCCAGTTTGGGTTCCATCAGAGACACTCAGACCTCATTACGGCCTTGATTCAAACATGAACAAAACAGCTAAATTGCAGAAGTGAAGTGAGAGTGGCAGTCCTTTACATACAAGGCTGCATTCGACCAAATGTGGCATCAAGGAACTCTAGTAAAATCAATGGGTACTCGGGGCAAACGTTCCGCTGGTTAGTGTCACACCTGGCACATAGGAAGATTTGTGGTTGTTGGAGGTCAGTCATCTTATCTCCAGGACATCTCTGCAGGTGTTCCTCAGGGTAGTGCCCTCGGCCCAACCATCTTTAGCTGCTTCAACAATGACCTTCCCTCCATCCGAAGGTCAGAAGTGGCAATGTGCAATCATCGGTGTACAATGTTTAGCACCATTCACGATTCCTCAGATACTGAAGCAGTCCATACTCAAAAGCAACAAGATCTGGAAAGTATCTTGGGATTGGGCTGACAAGTGGCAAGTAATATTTGTGCTACACAAATGCCACGCTATGACCATCATCAATAAGAGACAATCTAACCACCGTCCTCGACATTCAATGGTATTACCCTTATCTTTTGTGCAGATGTGATGGGCTCTTCCATCATTAAGGATGTTACCACCATCGAATTCCCCTATCAACATCTTGGGGCTTACCACTGACCAGAAACTCAACTGGACTCACCACATAAACACAGTGGTGACAAAAGCAGGTCAGAGGCTAGGAATACTTTGGCGAGTATCTCACCTCCTGACCTGCCAAAGCCTGGCCATCACCTACAAGGCACAAGTTAGGATTGTGATCAAATACTCACCACTTGCCTGTGCGGGTGCAACCCCAACAAGCATCCACTCCCTCCACCATCAACACTCAGTACACACTGCTGCTACTATCCAAAAGATGCACTGCTGAAATTCACCAAAGATTGTCAGACAGCTCGTTCCAAACCCATGACCACTTCCGTCTGGAAGGACAAGGTCAACAGATATATACCAATACCACCACCTGCAAGTTTCCCTTCAAGCCACTCATCACTTTGACTTGGAAATATATCGCCATTCCTTCACTGTTGCTGGCATTGTGGGTCAACCCACAGCAGGGGGGCTGCAAGAAAGCAGCTCCTCACCAGCACTTCCTCAAGGGCAACCAGGGATGGGCTAGAAATGCTGGCCAGCCAGCAATGTCCACATCCAAAAAAATGAATAAAGGAATAAAAAAAAAATACTCACTGGAAAATAGTCATAAACAAGCATTTCACTGATAACTTTTTTTTAGACATTCTAAGTTGGAACAAAATGCAAATATATCACACCAAGCAGATGTTGATTTGGAATGCTTACAAAAATTGCATTTTCAGACTACAGGGATCAGCAGTTTTATTTTGTACAGTTATATAGAAGATTGATGCATATAAAACTTGACTGAATGCTGCATTCTCAATTTTTATAAGTTTAAAAACACACTGGCACATAACTTGAAGTTAATTTTTGGACACAATAATGGACACAATCTGCATCAGCGAGTTTCATTAGGTTTACATAATGCTTTTTATTCTCCATGTAATTCAGGTTCACTTCAACTTCATGGAAAATTTGCTTAAAACAGCCATACATCAGCACAATTGTGGAAGCTCAAAATATTAAAATTGTATTTCAACCAGACATACTACTCATCTCATTCTGAGTCTGCAAATGCAATTCTAATCTTGAAGGCAATGTTTTGATTTATCCAGCTCTATACTACTAATTACATTCATTTCACATACATTTGAAATCAACACCAATTAAGTTCAGAGTCATCATTTGATCAAAATAAATAAAATTGTCAAAAGAGTTTACATTACAAGATGTAAATAAATGGCTCAAGAAACAATGCCGGGGAAACTCAAATCAACATAATTTGCATCACCAGATAATTATAATTAAAAAAGGAATGAGCGACATGATGGCTCAACTCCACCCTCCAGCAACTGCCTGTGTAGGGTTTGCATATTTCCTGTGTCTGCGCAGGTTTTCTCCAGGTCCTGCGGTTTCCTCCCTCACTCCAAAAACATACAGCTAAGGTGAACTAGTCATGCTAAATTGCCCATGGTGTCCAGGTATGTGCAAGCTAGCTTAATTAACCATGGGAATTGCAGTGATAGGGCTGGTGGGAGGGGTCTGAGTGGTTGTGTCTGGGTGTGATGCTCTCCAGACAGTCACTGTGGACCCGATGGCCCAAATGGCCTGCTTCAATACTGTAGGGATTCTATGATTCAAGACAAAGGAGCTTCAAAAGAGCCAACAAAACCAAGAAATACAAAAATTGGGATAAAAAGGAAATTACTGGAAAAACTCAGCAAGTCTAGCAGCATCTGTGGAGAGAAATCAGAGTTATGTTTTGGGTCCAGTGTCCCTTCTTCAGAACGACAGTTCTTTTTGGTTTTTGGTTTTTGGTTTAATTTCAAAAATAAACTACCAACATCAACCTTACCAATAACCTCCACCGCAATAGCCACGATGTTCAGACATCCACTCTTCATGACCAATTCGGAGGCTACTCGGCATCTGATTTTTTTTAAAACTTTATCTGTGTAGTGTTATTTATTCTCCTCACATTTAATAATTAATAAATTGACTCTTTGTTAATTCAAAAAATTGACTCCCTCTAAAACATAAGTTCATGTGGTTAGGGAGAAAAGGTATCCACAAGGGCAAGGATAATTTTAAAACTAAGCATGCTGGAATCAATTGAGAACGTTGTGAAAAAAAGAGGGGAATCTGTTCATCCCTCCACATCCAGAAAGCTTAACAGTTTGGAGTATCTCATCTGAAACCGTAACAAATTGAGGAACCTTGCCTGCAATTTGGTTGCATTGTGCCAAACTGCACAAACTACCATTAGATATTTCCATTCTCACCATTGCCTGTTACTAATCCAAGTATCTTACTGATTCTACCACATTAACAAGTTATTCCGTTACCAAGTCCTACAGACCAAATACTTTTGCAACCTTGCCGTAAAAATTTGCAAGTAGCATTGACTTCACTTCTCTGAAGAGTTTAAGAGTAATATTACCTGTGCACATTCAGATTCAAAAGTACATTATTCCGACATGTAACACCCTTCAAGCCAATCTCTGGATGCCCTGTCCTAACATTTGTGCTTCCCTTTTGCAGCGGCATATTAACAATTTTACTTATTTGTTTAATCTCTCATTAACCTTTTAATGCTGTAAATGCTGGTTTCAGTATTTTCCAGTGAAAGTAATTCAAGAATGGGGAGATTAGACTGATCTCCTTGGAAAACAAATTAAGATCTGACAGAAGTTTTCAAAATCATGAGGGGTCAGGACAGTAAATAAGGAGAAATTGTTCTGCTTATGAAAGAATGGAGAACAAGAGGGCACAGATTTAATGTGATTCATATACGTAGCAAATGTGATGCGAGAAACAACTTTTTCCTAAAATGAGTAGTTTAGGCTTGGAATGCACTAGTGAAGCTATCAAATTGGTTCAATTGTGGCATTCAAGAGCGCAGATGATTATTTGACTGACGTGTGCAACTGTATGGGGAAAGGCAGGAGAATGACACTAAGTCATAAAGCTCATTGGACAGCCTGTGCAATGGCCTCCTTTGGCACCGTAGCTTTGTGAACTTATGGAAATTGCCCATTTCACCTCACACACTGGAAATACGCCGCAGGTCCTACAGTCATGCAGCATGGAAACATGTCAAAAATGTCAGTTCAACTCATCCACACCGACCAGTCATCCCAATGTGACCTAGTCCCATTTGCCAACATTTGACCAATATCCCTCTAAACGCTTCCTATTCATGTACCCATCCAGTTGCCTTTTAAAATGTTGTAATTGTATCTTCAAGCAGCTCGTTCCATACATATACCATGCT